TTGTAATGCAAGGTAAATTTACAAGTGTGTTTGTATTATCTTGATGAATTGATGAAGTTTCGTTATTTTGAGCAGGTATTTCAATTGATTGATGTTGACTCAAAGTTTCGTTAGGAATAAGTTGTTTTAAAGTATTGAAAATTAATTTTGTTTCTGGACGATTAACAGGATCGTTGTCCCAACATTGTTTGTAAAGTTCAATATATTGAGATGGAGTACCTTCTATAGGCTCTTCTCTATTTCCTTGACCAATGTGAGAACAGAGGGCTATTTTTGACTCAATGGTTTGAAAAGGTGTTCTTCCGCTTGAAATTTCCCAAAGGATTACTCCAAAGCTATAGACGTCAGATTTCTTATCATGTTTATATTTACAATTAACAAAACATTGAGGTTCTATATATGCTGGATTTCTATTCATAATCGAGTTTGAAGCCATATACATTTCATTTATCTGCTTTGATATTCCAAAACCTGCAATCTTTGGCTGTCTTTGATGAATTAAGATATTGTTCGAATGCTAAATTAATTATTAGAGTATTAGTGAACTAATATATATAAAATCTGGTAGGAAATATACAATACTTACAAGATCTCTATGAATAATATTATTATCATGTAAGAATAAAAGACCGAATGCTATTTCTTTAGCAATATATAATTTATCTATCCATTGCAATCTTGTAAAGTTTGCTTCTAGATATTTTCGCAAAGTCCCATCATTAGCATATTGTAAAACCGTATAATAATCTCCGCTGGTATCTATTTATTTATATTAGACAATATCTTTGCTTAATATGATTATTTACTTGATTTAAAATTTATAATTGATTTTTTTGTTTTTACCTTTCGTGACCCCATAGAACGCAATAATATTTTGATGGTTACAAACTCTTAATAGTTTAAGCTAATTAAATGAATTGCAACAATTTAATATATGATTCTGTTATAGGATATAATTCAAGTTCCAAAATAATAAATAATACCTCATTTATAAAGTCTTTGATGACTTTTTCATCTATATTTGTATCGACTCTGAGGCATTCAAGAGCAACTGTTAACTCACTATCTTTCCACTTGCATTTAAAACCTTTTCCGGAATCATCTGAGCCAATCTCTGTGGATTTTGTAAATTTATTATATTCGAGATAATCAATATGTCCATCGAAAATTGCTTTTTCAAGCCATTCTGTTGATGTTTTTGTCATGACTTAACTACCGATTTTATGCACGACATTTCATTACATATATACTTCACAAGTACATACAGTGATACAGCATGTTAATTTCACCAAATCTAGATCCACCGGAATTACTGCTCATCTCGTTGGGTTATATTATGTAGATCCTAAAAATCATACGTATTACATTTCTAAATAGATTTTTTAAAAAACTTTTTTACTAATTTAAAATATATGTTCTGCTGAGAAATTATGTAAAATGTTTAAATAATACACAAATTATGGTGACGTGATTTTTTGAGATTTAGAAATCTTGTCGAAACGACTGTAAAAATTATTGAATTTCAAATTGTACCTTTCTTTCGTAATTTAATTACTTAATACTCTAAGAATAATAGTTTTAATAGTAAAAATCTTCCAAACCCAGCAGAGCTACATTTAGAGAATTTACTATATATAGAATGAATATATGTATTAAAAATATTATAAGTTTTAATATATTTATTTTTATAAAATATAGCTTATACTTATTGCAATAAATTTGTTAATACAAAGTTTATTTATTATTATTTATATTTAAGGTAAACTTGGTTGGATTTTACTAGAATAACATAGAAAAGATTATAATGAGGCACATGTGAAACTTTAGTTATTGTCTAGTTGCTATATATAATTTTCTGTAAATTTTCTATTGATTCCGCCAAGCCGATCATTACATGATCAAATACAAAAATAATTCGGCAAATTTATGAATTCAAACTTTGTTAATTTGTTCTTGAGTTGCAACAGTCGTGTTTTACAGAAAACGTGTTTTTACAAGCAAATATCAAAAATACTAAATATAAAATTAAAATAATAAATTTTTTAAAAGTTCATTATTATTGGTATTATTAGTATTCACATAATTCGAAGGTAATGATTATATTTTGGACTTTTGAAATTACGTAGATTTGGGATTGGTCGAATTATCCCGGAACTGTAGCACCTGCAAGATAACAAAACCATTTTCACTTTCCCAAGAAATGGAATAGACGACTTTCTTTTGATATACAATTAAAGATTTGAATCCATATATTTAAATTTCATAATCTAGCTAATTTTGATTTATAGACAAACCTATCAAGAATCAAAATCGTTTCCATAACAGTAACCAGTTATCCTCTCAACGGATTTTTGATAGTAAATGAATGCTTTATATTCATCCTTTTCGACACCAATTCCACCTAGATAGCAATGCCCAACTTGTGAAATTCCATCAACATCACCCATATCAGCTGATTTTTTATAGTAAATAAATGCGATATGCTCGTCTTTTTTAACACCTATTCCCTGTTGATAACAACCTCCGAGATTATATATTCCACCAACATTCCCCATTTCAGCAGATTTTTTATAATGGATGAATGCTTTATTATCATCTTTTTCAACACCTATCCCATTACCATAACAATATCCAAGACTATTTACTCCACTGGCATTTCCCATATTAGCAGATTTTTGATAATTAATAAATGCCTTACACGGATTTTTTTCGGTTCCTATTCCGTGTCGATAACAATCACCAAGATTATATAATCCACTGGAATTTTCCATCTCAGCAGATTTTTGATAATAAATAAATGCTTTATGATCATTCTTTTTAACTCCAATTCCATGTCGATAACAATAACCAAGATTATTTATTCCATTAGCATTCCCCATCTCAGCAGATTTTTGGTAATTAATGAATGCCATATATTCATTCTTTTTAACACCAATACCATTTCGATAACAATATCCAAGACTATTCATTCCATCAGAATTTCCCATCTCAGCAGAAGTTTTATAATAAATAAATGCGTTGTGTTCGTCCCTTTCAACGCCTATTCCATTTTCATAACAATCACCAAGATTATACATTCCATCACTGCTTCCCATTTCAGCAGACTTTAGATAATAAGTAAATGCCTTATAACAATCCTTTTCAACACCAATACCATTTCGATAACAATACCCAAGATCATTCATTCCTATAGCCAGTCCCATCTCAGCAGATTTTTGATAACATGTAAATGCCTTGGATTCATCTTTTTCAACACCGACACCATAAAAATAACAATTACCAAGATGATATATTCCTTGTGTATGACCCATATCTGCGCACTTTTGATAATGAATGAATGCTTTATGACCATCCTTTTTAACTCCTATTCCATTTTCATAACAATAACCAACATGAAAAATTTCATCAACATTTCCAATCTCGAAAATTTTTTGGTAACGAAAACATGAATCATGTTCATCTTTTTGAATATTTAATAATTTTTGATGATTATATTCACCATTATTTGTTACTGCATTAGCTTCAACTTTTGTTAATTGTTTTCGGTGAAATAAATAATAATAAATCTTTAACATTTTTTATTTTTGAATACAGTATAAGAAAATAAGGGAATTGTAATATTGAAAATTTCGAATTTTTCCAGTACTTAAATTATTTTAAATTAAATGAAAATTGTACATGTGCAGTTTTTTGTTTTCATTAAGGAACGATAAATCCTTACTTTATTTGGAAATTAATAGTATGTCTATAGGTCATTAAGAGGGAGATCATAAGGGATAATGTATATACTTAAAAAAGGAATAAATATAGGATAGTTTAATATGATCAGATAAGCCTTAACGCTAATTATCCATTTGTGCTGCCACCGAACGTGAAAATCTTTTATTATTGTTATTATTTTGTCTTAGTTTTTATTTATCATATTTGTATGAAACTTGATCATGGGACCTCCAAGCACATTCTTTTAAAATTATTCAAACCCAGTGATTTTTAGAAACGCTTAATAGTATATATGTAATATGTATATTTGGTTGACTATTATAAATTTACCTGCATTACACAATACTGCAATTATAGGATGTCTCGCATAGTGATGTACCATTTATATGTTACCGATTTTTTTTCGCGTACAGTACGTATAGCACTGTATACGGCACATCTCTAGTCTCAACATCGGTCTAATTTCAAACATAGTATAAATAGCATAGAGATCTTTAATTAGTAAAACATAAAATTTAAGTTACTTGAACTAGCGAATGTACACAACTAAAATTGCATTTATTAAAGTAATAAATTTCTTTCATTTTTTTACAAATTAAGACAAAAAAAAAACCATTGTTAAGTCATAGGGAAAATAACAAAAATCCGTGAATCTCACGTATAGTTGATTAATAATCTTTATCGTTATGATTATCATACATTGTTAATCAATTATGCATGATTGGCGCACTGACACCATTTAATGCTTCGTTACGTAATTATAAATGTGTTTGCAGCAAATATCTAAATATATTCCATTGTGGTCGATTTTTTTAGTAAATGTAATAAAATAATGACGAATTTAATTGTAACGAGCTGACACATTGTGCGACTTGTAAAACTAAAATATCATTGCCTATCCATTTTTGCAAATATATTTTATTAATATATATTTATTATTGATAATCCTGCTAACAATATTTTTTAAGCTTATCAAAAAAAAAAAAAATACTAATTCAAACATTTAATAAAAAATATAATGCTGCAATAATCTTTTAAGCATACTTTTATAATGTTTAATGCTATTATATTATACGATATAATCTTAATAAAATTAATTAAAAATTAGATTAAATTTAGTGATTAAAAAATTAGAGCAAAATAAAAACTACAATAAATTTTTTTTTAAAAAAATCAAAATGATTTTATATATTTAATTTTGCACGTATTATTTTTAAATTGTGATATATATGAATTAACACTTGCGTGAGATTGCAGCTGACCTGACGCACCAGAACTAAATGATTAGCAATCATTTGAGATTTCAGCAAAAAAAAATAGCGTATTTTGGAAATAAGTGGGTCTTTAAAGAAATCTTATTTGTGTATTAGAAAATGAAATGAGAGCATTTAGGGAGCTGACATTTAAGAGCTCATTATTAATTACTTTAAAACTTATAATTGACAAATAATTGACTCTGGTGTAGGACATGGCCAATTGACATTTCTCTGGTGCTATAATGAGCTCTTAAATGTCAGCTCCCTTAGAGACAAAGCACAAAATCTACTATAAAATACCGGATATTCCGGTAAATTAAAAAAAATTCCGGCGCAATTTTTTGATAGTCGGAAGTTTTCCGTTTTTTAGAAACTTTGACTTTCATATCATAACCGATTGCAACTATCATTACTACTTCCTGTTACAGATTTTAATAAAAAGATCGCCGAAAATTATCATGCCATAATTTTGCGTACTGTTTCAAATAGTGTTCCAAATTGTTAGTTGAAAAATCAATAGTTCCCAACTTTCCAACTAGTACGATTCGAGATATTCCGTCTAGTCGAGCGGATCCGTGTTAATTTCTTTGATTTGATTGGTTAAGCATCTGAGAATGTCACATGATATGAAAAATTGACAATCCAGGAGCAGGAGGGACCGTCCCAAATAAGGAATTAGTTCTCCACACCTGAAGAAATTGGTGGAAGGGCATTCGGAATTGTGTGTCGATCAGAATGGAAAGATCACGAATTAACCATTGCTCTTAAAAGGCTCTTGAATGAAGAGAAAACCATTCAAAATTTTGTTGAAGAGGTGAATAATTATAATATTTATTAAAACAGCGATATTGCAAAGGTATCATATAATATAATAAATACATATCATTAAACACTATATATTTATCTTATGCACTTACAAAAGTTTGCACGCATTCAAATATTATTGAATTTTATGGTGTCACTCAAGGTTAGTAAATGAATAGTAAATATCGTAAATAATCTGGGGTCCATATCATTTCTCTCGACATTTATTTTACTGTAAATTATTTCCCTGAAAATAGTTCACCGCCAATCACTTCTCCGACACTACTTCCTCGATATCACATCCACAACACAACTTTCTCGACACAACAACCTCCCCAACAATCACATCCTCGACAATCACCTTCCAAAAACAATAACTACTTTCCCGATACAACCACTTCTCTTATAATGCTTCTCAGTAACAATTACTTTAACAATTACTCTCCCAACAATCCCTTTTCTAGGACAATGGCTATTGAGAAAGTGTTTGCTGGGGAAGTTGTGTCGGGAAAGTTGTTATCAGGAAAAAATTTTCAGGGAGTGATTGCCGGTAAATAAATGTCATAGAAATAATATGTAACCAATATTCTGTATTTATTTTTAAAGCCAGTAATTTTTTGAAAAATATATATATTAGTAATATCGATAGATCAAACGGATAAATATTATATGGTTTTGCAATTTGCAAATAATAGAGATTTACGTGGATATTTAAGAAAAAAATTTTCAAAGCTAGAATGTACTGACAAATTGCGAATAGCCTGCGAAATTTTAGGCGGTCTTAAATTCTTACATGAAAATGTTATCATTCACCGAGATCTCGTAAGTATTGATCTATTTAATCATTTATCAAGACAATTTATATATTTACTAACTAATGAATCTATTCTTCTCATTATAGCGCTCTAAAAACATTCTAGTCCACGATGAAAAAATGCTGATTGCAGATTTTGGACTATCAAAAGATAAGGCTTCAACAAGCTTAAATTCTAAAGCTCATGGGATGATAGCGTACATTAATCCTCAACATCTTGCAGACGTAAATTATAAACTTAAAAAAGAATCTAACATTTACAGTTTTGGGATAATTCTTTGGGAAATTTCGAGTGGCCGACACCATTCCAATCATCTACACCTATGGCTCTTTGGCTTAATATACTCAGTGGAGAAAAAGAAAAACCTATTGAAGGTACTCCAGGTTCATACATTCAACTTTATAATAGGTGTTGGCATTATTGTCCGGACCAGCGTCCAAAATTGGCAGAAATTTTAAAAACACTTAAAAATCTTTCTGAAAATCAGGTAAGCATCTTAAATTAGCATATTTAACTCGATACCTAAAATTATTGCCCGACTAAACTTTTGGATAATAATGAAACAATTAGTAATTCAAAACGATGAAAATGTGATACAACGATCTACTAGCTCAAATAGTGAAACAACCGGTAATGTAAATCAAATCAATGGAATGTGTCCATAGCTCAAAAGAATTCTAATGATAAATTATTAATATCGATTCCGACAGAACTCATAGAACGTCCTGCACTAGACAAATTTTCAAAAAAGCTTGAATATTTATCGGAGAATACAACAGTTGAATTTATTACAAATTGTATTAATACGAATCATCAGAAAATTGCACAACTAATACTGAATACGACCGAAAATATAAAAGTAGTGAAACATCATGAAGGCAATAAAAATGGTATTGCTACCTAATTTATGATTATTTTCATTATTATCAAACAAATTACATTTGCTTTTTTTTACCGGTTACACCAAATAAAATTTAAAATTTCTGTGGAGAGTGTCTTTAAAAGGAATACTTAATGCTTATTTGTGATGAGAATGACTATAGATGTGCCATTTATATGATATCTGAATTTTTTTCGCGTACAGTACGTTTAGTTGTATAGTGTGTATAGCATACGTAATACACATAATAGATGTAGCATTTATAAATCAACTATATGCAACATTCTACAAGGAATAATTTTTGTTAGAATGCAAAGGACAGTTTCATAATCAAATATTTTAGTTAGAGATACTTTAATGATTTGTTCTAGAATATTCTAAAAAATTTTTGCATGTACAAATTTTATGCAAAAAAAATTATAATAAAAAATCATAACAAAATTTTATGCGAAAAAAATAAAAAGCTAATCACAATATTAATCATTAAATTAATAATACGTATAAATATAATTTACGAATTAAAAATAAAATTTATTTTTTTTCTTACTCTTATTTAACCACGACCATGCCTACAGCACGATATACTCGAGAATGGATGAGTAACGAAAATATCAACCGTCTTCCATGGCCAGCACAATCACCAGATTTGAATCCAATCGAGAATGTATGGAAAATATTAAAAGAAAACATTCAGAAATGAAGGCCGCCTCCAAGAACTTACGAAACCTTAAAGACAGCCCTTCTAGAAGAATGGGACAAACTAGATTCATCAATCTTTACGAATTTAATTAATAGTATGCCAAATCATATTATTCAAGTTATTGATAATGACGGTTATGGTTGTAGATACTGATATTTAATATATATCGATATCGATATATACTGTATACTCATTATGCATTAATATGTAATATTATACGTATTAATTTGCGCAATATAACTTATTAATATCGTTGATGATTTTTATTATTTTTTTTGCATAAAATTTTGTTGTTTTTATTGTGTAACCGTCACATACTTTTGGAGCCTACTGTACTGTACGCAGCACATCACTAAGAGTGACACAAACCCAAAAACATAAATATAAACTAAGTTCGTGAAATTAAAATTTTGCATTATCGGGGGACATCGCTCACGTTTGCATTTTTTGTTTTCAAATTATACTCTATAATTACATATCCAAAATTGATGAATAACTTAAGATTTTGTGACAAATCACACTTCAAACAGCATATATTCCATACACATTCGTTCCTGGTATTAATACAGGCCAGATATTATATTAATGCTGACCAGATGATATGGTAATGCCGGCTAGATAATTTTATTTTGGATCATATAAAATCCCACGCGGGATCTAAAAAAATCCGCATGTGCCCATCTCTACCTACGGACATTACACTATATAATAAAAAGTCAATATGAACGAACTGTGACACGCAAATTTCTCTAAGATCCTATGAGAAACGAGTGATATTTTAAATCTGCAATGCAATTAAATAACTGTTGTGCTAGGTTTGTGACATAAAATTCTTGCCCGTCTTGAATGTGGGTTTATGGCTAGGATTGGGGCACGGGTTGAGCCCATTGACCAAAAAGCATACCCTATCATGTGATATGGTGTTATTAAATAATTGGCCAATTATCAAATTAACCAATTAGAATTAAAGTCTACTACGATAATATATGTTATATATAAAGATGGGCAAATCGCGGTTTTTCAAAAAATCCCGCGCGGGATTCATTAAACCACAAAATTTTAAACCCTAATTTCAATTAATGGGCGGCCACGATTTCTTTACTAAAAATTCGAGTAATTTTGCCTAAATTTTTTGTTGTTACCGTTGATCAATCAAATAGTAAATTTCCACGTATTTTTTGCAAAGTTTAATAACAGTAATTACATTAAGCACGTCCTTGGTTAAAGGTTTCATCTGAACCAACTTTTGTAAGACAATTCCAAATATTATTATTACTACGCATCAAATTTATTTTTAAAAGAGCGACTTAATCATAAAGAATATTTTTGTAATGTAAGCGAAAGATACCAACGGCAAAGAAGGTAAATTCTTATCGTATATATAAATAAACATATGTGTGAAATGGTATGCAAATAAATAAATAAATTTTAATTAGGAATTAGCTAAATATGTTAATGCAGGTCAGATATTATATTAATGCTAGCCAGATATTATGGTAATGCCGGCCGAATAATCTTATTTCGGGATCATATTAAAAATCCCGCGCGTGCCCATCTCTAGTTATATATATATCTATAGGGGGCATGTCTAAAAATTTTCCATTGCTCCCAACCCTACTTATGGCGCAGATTTCCTAAACTACGAATCAGATTTCAAGATCAGGTGGACTTAACACGATCAAGAAAATTCAAAACAGGCTTTCATTTTGTCAAAAGTTGCTTATTTCTCAAAAATCAGCATAAGTAACCACTTTTAGTACTTTAAAAAAAGTTTCTGTTGAGAAATTTTACTGTATAAACTATTCCTTTAAAATTCCTAAACTTGACCCTAACCCCAACTTAAACAAGCTTTAAAGAATTTTGGCCGCACCACATATTCAAGTAAAGCAAAATTCTTTAGAACTCATTAAACTCATTACTATAAAGACTAACATTCGTATTTAAGTTAGAATTGACAAGATGTTGAATCGTTTGAGAAACATTTTGACAATATAAACAACTTTGACAAAACGCACGGTCTTTATGTTCATGTCACGTTATATATGATCCTAAAAATTCATTTGTGATCTGTGCCACCATACTTCACATGACCAATAGTGCGACAACCTATATATTCACTAAATGCAATACCTATACTCCTTACGTCTCCCATTCCTAGTTTCGCGTGACATCGTCGCGCAGCTATTTTATTTCGATATAAACATAGCTAATTAACTGAATCGCAATTTGACAAATTTTAACTATATCTACGTGGTTGAAATATACACGTAATCATGAATATACAAATTCTGATTTATTTTTATTTAATCAATCAAGACTTATCATATTTCATTATTTAGAGTTGTAAATAAACAATAGACAAGCCAATAGGATCAATAGACAGTCTAATTGTCTAATTATGTCTAATCAATCCATTAGACAATAGACAAATAAATATATAATTTAGAGTAATTTGATGGTTAATTTTAGATATCATACGTATAATCTAGTTAATATAAGTCCTAAATTGACTGATAGACAGTCATTATATTATATTTACATCCCTGATTTTATTTAACAATTTTTAGAAGGTTTAAAAATTCAGGGAAAATTTCCCCCAATACAGTCTAAAAAATAATATTATAATATATAGTAATTAGTTATTAATGAAAAATCTGAAACAATTAACATGACATAGAATTTTCAAGTTATAAAATATTCTATTTCAGCACCACCGATAATATTCATCACATGAGAGATGTATACGTATCTATCTCAATATATAACCACAGAAGAGTGTGCTTCACGCATACTTTCATTTATAGATGTTTCTAAGGTAATAGGTTTTTTATATTGTTTTTTATAAATAAAAAACCCAATAGCCAACAATATTCCAACTAAAGCAATTCCACCCACACCAATACCAATTCCAATATATATATTATCGTTATTTTCGTTATTTTGTTGACTTGCGATAGATGATATTCCATTAGAGGTAGTTGTTGAAGGTAGATTAGCTGAACTAACCCAGGTGTAATTTCGTATATCAAGAATATAAATACTGTTACTGTATATCTCTATTATACTAGATTGGCCTAAGTATATCAAAATAAAGTCAATTATCAAAAATTCAATAGCTACTTGAAATAAAGAAACTAATTACCAAATGCAATAATCATGTAATTTTTGTATAATACTGCAGAATGAAATGTGAGTGGTGGAGGTGCATTTGTTTCAGAAATGCTTGGAATGGACCACATCAAAGTATTGGAATTTAATACTGCAACATCTGAAAATATACTACCGGCATAGCCAGAAGTAATATCCACTATTGAGCCTCCATATAGAATAATGTTTCCATCCTGGGCTGTCAAAAATAAATATCAAATTTTACATTAATGTTATTTTATCTGACCAACATTTATGATCATGAAATTATTTCATATACGACTTACTTAAAACCGTAGAATGTCCAATACGAGATAAGATACTATAGCCACTGGCAATCTAGTAGAAATATATGTTCACAAAATCAGGGGTAATAATTAGAGACAATAATAATAATTAATTCTATACATTACTTGAGCAGACCAGATGTAAGATTTCGTATCAAATGTTCGAATCTGCATTTATTAATAAGTAAATTATTCCAAACTTTAGAGATTTAAAAATTTTAAAAATATTAGCCAAACCACACCTGATTCATATTAACATAGGAATAATTTAAACCTTCACGTCCACCGATATAAATAATAAGACCATTTGGTAATAATGTAGCAGTATAATCAGTATAAACAAGAGACTGGGGTTGAATTTGTGTTGACCAAGTCATAGTAGTAATATCAAGTATATTCATGTCATTATATTGGTGACTAGTAGTTGGTTTATTATCATAATAATCTGTTCCTCCAAAAATAAAAATCTTCCCTTTACTATCAATAACAGCTTGCATTTCATTACGTACTACGAAGCTAGAATTGAAATTCTTAATACTTGGCGTTGTCCACAGTGAAGCTTTAGAATCAAATACATATACTGATGACGATAATACATAATTTAAAGTATTTGGAGTCCATGTCCTTCCGCCGATTAAGAAAACAGTGGAATTATCATTAGGACTTAGGCATGCACTAGCTAAATTATATCCTAATGACATTGCAGTATCTTGGCGCCATGGCGGTGTAGTTACATTAAATGAATTTGATAGGTCAAGATACCAGACTTCATTAGATATAGAATAACGATTATTTGCTCCACCGAAGAAATAAAGTTTAGTACCAACTAAGGAGCTAGCTACCTGAAGTTTAGGATTAAGAATATTTTGGCAAATAACAAAAAAACAAAT